GGGATGCGGGGGGGGGGAGGAGGCAGGGGTATCCTTTATCTCTGACCTCCTTAATGCATCTGAGCCTGGTCCCTCTCCATTATTTTTCTCGGGCTTCCTTCTGGTGCCTCTTCAGTCTCTATGTCTGTCTCTGGCTCTCTGGGTCTCTCTCTCTTCCAGTCTCAGTTTCTCTCCATCTGTCTCTCTCTTTGGGTCTCTCTTTTTCCTTCTGCACCTGCCTTTCTGTCTCCAGTCACCTTCTGCCACTCAGACCCTTCTCCCCTAAATTTCTCTCATTTACTCTCCTGTTCTCTCTCTCTCTGTGCATCTTTTTCTCTCTCTAAAGCATCCTTCTCTCTACCAAGACCTTGCCCCATCCCCGTTTTCTCTCCCTTCCCCCTTTCTCTGTTTCTTTCCCTCTTCCCCCTCTCTCCTCCTCCCATCCTCTCAGTCTCTCTCTTTCTGTCTGTCTCTCCTTCCCCCCTCTCTGATGACTCTCTCCCTCCCCCTTCTTTCTTTCTGTTCCCCAGATCCTGACCCCTACATCCCCTCCCTCACCCCACTCCTCCCCTACCCAGCCCATCACTCCCCCATCTCTTGGTTTCTCTCTTCGGGTCTCTGTCCCTGTCCTCTTCTCTCTCTGGATATTTCTCTCTGTGTGTGTCTCTCTCCAACTTCCTTCTGCCTCCAGTCACTGCCTCCCCCAAATTTCTCCCTCCCCCATTTCTGTTTCCCAGTCTTTGGGTCTCTCTCTTTCTTTTTCTCCTTGTCTCTTTCTGTCTCTCTGTCTCCTTCTCTGCATCTCTGTCTTCTTACCCAGCTTCTACTGCCACCCAGACCCTGCCCCCCTCATCTCCCTTCCCCCACCCATCTCCTCCCCGTGGCTCCCCCATCCCTCAGCAGCTCCCCTCCCCCCTCTCCTCCCTCCCTCTCTCGTCCTCCAGCTCCGCACTTTACCCAGCGACACGAGAACCAAATTGTCTCCTCACCTTTTTTTTTTTTTTATCCCGACCCTCACTCCCTTGGGACCCAAGCTCAGAGCTGCCCCTCAGCTCCCCCTTCACCTCAACACCCCCATTCCCCACAGGCCTCCTCATCTCCACCCCCCCAACCAGCTCGGACGCCTGGGTCCCTCACTGCTGGGGGAGGGGGAAGCATCAAGAATTGGGAACCAAAAGGGTTTTTCTGGGGGGGTGCCGCCGGGGGGGGCTGGACCTCCCCTCTCCAGTGCATCGGAGAGTTGACCTATCGTTAACAGAGGTGAGACAGATCTTTTTATTAATCGGAGGTGGGTGGATGTAGAATTAAGGTTCTGTGACTCCCCCAATTCTAGAGAAAGGAGCTGGTTTCCTTCAGAGGAAGAGGGGATGTGACCCCCTCTCACATCCGGCAGCTTTAGAACGAGGGTCCCCTTCTCCCTCCTCCTTCGCAGCTGCTGACAGTTGGACTAAACGGAGAGTCCCTAAAGCCAAATAGATAGTCCCCCAAATTGACAAAATGAAAAGATTTTCAAATCTTTTTTTGATGGAGAATTTCCCTCCTTCTACCCTCTCTTCCCTTCCCCTCTTATCCCGGGTTATAGGGGGCCCAGCAGGGGAACGGGTATGTCCCAGGGTCATGGGCTCAACCCGGGTGGAAGCAGAAATTTGTTAAGACCGTGGAGGTGGCAATGCTGGTGATGAGGGGCACAGATATAGGGAGAAGAGGCCGAGAGATGAAGAAGAGAGGAAACTCAACATCTGGAGAGAAAGGGAGGAAGGGGCCAATACTGAGGAGAGGGAGGCTGGGGGATGCCAGTACCCTGTGCGCTGATGAACGGTGGCCTGTGGCCTGAGGAAGGGGCTGTGTGGGCAGGTGGGAGTTGGGAGGTGAAGAGAAGAGTGGGGAAAACGTGTGAGAGAAAAGCGGTCATGGGTGGGGTCTTGTTAGAAATGAGAAACGGAGGGCCGGCCTGTGGCTCACTCGGGAGAGTGCGGTGCTGACAACACCAAGTCAAGGGTTAAGATCCCCTTACTGATCATCTTTAAAAAAATTTTTTTTTAAAAGGGGGGGGGGGGGGGGAGTGTGGTGCCGAGAAATGAGAAACGGGACAGAGGACCCTTGGGAGGAGAAAGCAGTGGGGGTTAGCTGGGGTGAGGGATGACTTCCCAAGCGATGAAGACAGTAGCACCCACAGGAGAGGAGATGGAGGGGACTAGGGGTGTGTCCCACGAGTGTGAGGGATGGTTGGGCGATTTCTCCAAGTAGAATTAGTGGGACGATTTTGTTGGGCAGAGGACGATAGTTGGGGCAGAGTTTCTCAGAGAGAGGGAAGCGGTGGCGACCAGAGCGGAAGGCGTTTCTTCCACAGAAGCGGAGTTTGGGGGCG